GGCGACTCGTTTGAAGCACTATGAGTCGACTCTTTTATAGATGAATCAACCGTTTTAAACACTGTACACTAACAGATTTAAGCCTTAGCTGGATACTTTACTTCACTTAGAGCTGTGTTACACACTACATGGAGGGGAATTTTCAAAAACCCATAATATGGGCTCTTTAAATATCTATCACATATGGTACTGCTTATATTATTTCACCATCTGTACACCAATATCAGTAGTGGATATGCGTGTCCTTGCATGGGGCTGTTTCGGTGTGGTAATGTGGGCTGGTGCGGCTACAGTGCCAGGGCTGATTTTTAGTCCCAGTCCGCCCCTGGTAGTGTCATCAAACTGCTGAAATGAACTTAAATTACACTTTCAGATTTGATCGTACAGATAAGATCAATACATCAATCGAATCTGTTATGCGTCTACTTTTTGTTGTGCACTTCTTCAACTGTATATGGTAAATGGTCGGTTTTTATATCCTTTTTTCTGAGTACATAAATGAAAAGCATGGCCACCGAAATGGTTTTGATGTTCCTGGAGCAAGTAGAAGAAGATTCAGCGTTCAAACATTTCATACATGCTCTACATTTTTCTCACTTTTTTTGACAAATCTTATCAAACTTCTTTCTAACGCTTTACTAAACCTGCTGCATGACCAGGTCATTTCCCACTTGACTGCATTTTTTAAAAGATACAGTACAGAGAAACACGATTACAACAAAAACGGGTTTCTATCTGAAGATATATATTTAGAGTGCAATTTATTCCTGTGATGAAAAGCTATCATAGCTGCAGTTGACTATCACACGAAATCACAGTAATTTTTTTGTTTAGTATATAGTGTATATAGTGTATTATAGTGTGTTTGGGTCTTGTGTATGTGTACAGCAGCTTTATATCTTTTTAATTTGTCTTTGTTTTCCTTGCGGGGCAGTATAGTGGATCAGTGGTTAGCACTGTCGCCTCACAGCAAGAAGGTCACTGGTTCGAGTCCAGACTGGGTCAGTTGGCATTTCTGTGTGGAGTTTGCAAGTTCCCCCTGTGTTGGCGTGGGTTTCCTCCAGGTGCTCCGGTTTCCCCTACAGTCCAAACACATGCGCTATAGGGGAATTGATGAACTAAATTGGTTGTTTTAAATTAATTACAGTGATATTATTGACTAATATGAAAATGATCATCTGATTTATATACAATGCAGTTTGTAAAGTAATATTTTCTGTCTTTTAGTACATATATTATATGAGAGACTTGCTTTGTTTATCAAATAAAGTGAATCTAATTAGATTTGCATTTTAAATATTAAATAAAAGTTATAAAGATACTATTTTTGTTTTACATATTAAGATTTTAGTTATGACACTCAAAAAATAAATCCACAGATTTTTACCAAAATTCTCCGTAGAAATTGCAGAAAGCGTCCGCAGATTCCGTCTGTGTCACACCTGTTGCAGTGACCTAGTCTTGTTTTGTAGTTTCACTTCATTTCCCATAATCCTTTGTATTACTGATTGTGTTATGTTACAGCTGTTTTGTGTTTGTTAATTTAGTCCTGTCTTTATAAACCCTCTTGTCCTCTGTTCTAGTTGCCTTAGGATTTTGTTAGCGCCTCACGTTTGGTATGTTTGTCTGGTCATCTAGTTTTTGTATTTTGATAATTCTTGGATTCCTGTTTTGTGTTTGTTTTCGTTAGCACTCTTTAGCACTCCTACCCTGTTTTTTGTATTTACTCGTTTTTGGATTTTTGCCTGTTCTCTTGTTTGGACTAGATTTGCATCCTGCTTTAGTTCTGTTCAAGTTTGGAAACCTTTGTCTTTTGGAAACCTTAGTCTTTGTTATAATAAATTGTTGCACTTGGATTTTTTGCAGTTTTGTGATCATTCCCCATTTCGTGACAGTCTGGCCCTAGTAATGACCCATTAAAAAAAAGCACATCATATCAACAGTGGAATGTGGTGGTGTCAGTGTGAGAGTCTACAGAATGTTTTGTTGCTTCAGGATCTGAAAGACATGCTGTAATACAGGGGTTCCCAAACTTTTCAGCCCGCGACCCCCAAAATGACAATGCCAGTGACTCGTGACCCCCAATATTCTCTGAGGTGGTGGTTATAAATACAGAAACCTTGTGTGCAATGACGCGCACAAACACACCAATAGACCCAAGTCTATTCTTTGTTTTTTTATGTATGTCAGTGCTGTAAATGGGCTAGAAAGTTTAACCTGGTGTTACAAAATCTTCTGCATCTGACAGTATTGCTGTGTCTTTAGTTTAATGTAATTACCCGAGAAGTCGCAATCCAATAGAACTAGTAACTATAAGCTACTATAGTAACTATATAGTTTATAGTAACTATAAACGACTATTTTTTTTTCTCTTCAGTAGGTGATTGATAAAATACAGTAAGTCTTAAGGTTTAATAAAAATTAATTGATTTTTGAAAATGACCAGGCGACCCCCCCCCCCTTCATTGTCCCGCGACCCCTCGGGGGGGGGTCCCGACCCCCACTTTGAGAACCTCTGCTGTAATAAATGTAACCATAAATAAAAGTACCACAATATCCTGAAGGATAAAATCTTAGTGATCTCAGGCTTAAGCGAACTTGGGTTATGGAGAATGACACAAAAGACACCAGCAAACCCCTGTGATGAGCCCAAGGCTCGAACCCGGGTCGCTGGTGTAGTAGACCAGTGGTTTAACGATGAGCCACAGGGAGAGTTGGTGAACCCAATTGCTAAGGCACAAGGTCTAGTTCAAACAAAGGTGTTTATTAAGGAAATCTAAAATCATCAAGAAAAAGCCGCCAGGCAAAAACATAGGAACTCCAAAAGCTAAGCAGTTAACAAACATAAAGTTCTCCGTAGAGCAACTGGTACTATAGCCAAAAAAAATACAAAAGGTAATAACAAGAGGACTTACGGCAACAGCGGTAGCACATCAAACTCAAAAACCAAGTGACAAGTGAAGACAAGAGGGTAGAATATATAGGCTAGTCTAACAAGACACAGCTGAACCAAATTAACACAAATGAACCACAAACAGAAACACTGGGGAAAATGGCGACATCTTGTGGAGAAAACAAATAATAGCTCAGAATATGACAACCCCCTTCTAAATGGCTGAAGTAAAACAAAATGAATCCTGGTCAAAGTCCTGACCTGAATCCAATTAAGATCCCATGGCATGATCTTTAAACGGTGGTTTATGCTAGAAAACCTTCCAATGTGGCTGAGTTATGGCTCATTTCAACTGAGTGGAAGAGTACGGTATGATATGGCATGGGTCACCTTTATCAGGCTTGCATTTCCATTGCTAAAAGGGTACCCTTTTGGTGGTGGGTATGGTGTACGACAGAAAGTTTCAGTCGACATCATTTTTGCTTGAAGATATCTACAGTAAAGCTTTACAGATTGTTCACATATCATATGAGAAGCACTTCTCACAAAACCAACGCAATCTCACGGCAATTCATAACTTTTTAATTTTGTGGCTAATTCGTATGAATTCATACAATCTAATTCGTACAATTTAGTACGATTTGCTCATTGCCCAATGACGATTGGGTTTAGGGGTGGGGTTAGGTGCCACGCCTCCTTTCTAAAATCGTACATTTTCGTATGACTGAACTCGTAGGAATTTGTACGAATCAGCCACTAAACTGACAAAACGTAAAATACAAACGTTTCCTCGTGAGATCAGGCTGCACAAAACGCATGCTTTACACACAAACACTTCTGTATGAATGTTTATTCCTAACTCTTCTATGAACATGATCTGATTATAATTGCAGATCAATGACAGTGTGAAATAGCCTACTGTAACGCCTGTAATTATATGAAATAAATATATAAATGCAACATATATAAACACGTTCAGAACCTTACAGTCTCCGATATATTACCAATTACAGAAAAACTACACACAGCAGACATTTAGTCCTTATTTAGGTTCAAAAGCAACAGTATATATAGCCCACAGTCAGAGAAAAACCTCTCATCTGTGTCTGTAATCTTCACCAGCACATATAAACTCTGTTAGAGAGTCATTCTGACATTCCCAGTTCATAATAGTCCATAAGGTGATGATAATAGTTAAACATGATAGTGTGTTGTTGACGTCAATGGTGTAGTGGTTAGAGCGTCGACACATGGACTCTAATGCTCATGGCGACCCAAGTTCAATACCGACTTGCAGTCCTTTGAAGATCCGTCCCCTCTCTCTGCTCCCAATGCTTTCCTTTCAATTCTCTCTATTTTCCTATTCATATAAAAGTGAAAACCCAGAAAAAATAATTATTATGAAAAAACCATGGCAGTGTGTTCGTGTTTTAGGTTGTAGAAGCATTATTTGCTGCTGTTTTTTCCGGCTTCTCCTTTATTTTTTCGCGCTTCACTCTCGCAGGATTGGATATCAAAGTGATTCAATGATCACGAGCATGTTAATATTATGAGTTCAAAAAGTTCCTTATTTCAAATACAGAAGAGATCGCGAGCTCTCTGGAGAAAGTGAAACCGCTCGGACACAGCAGATTTTGTTGTTCTTGGCTTTGTGGCTGTTTGTGGACTTGTTGCAAGTTATCGAAAATGACAAACATGCAATAAACAATAAATTAAGAGTAAGGGGGCAAACACTTTTTCACACCACTGTAAATTGTATTGTCAAATTCATTCATTCATTTTCTTGTCGGCTTAGTCCCTTTATTAATGAACCGCCAACTTATCCAGCAAGTTTTTACGCAGCGGGTGCCCTTCCAGCCGCAACTCATCCCTGGGAAACATCCACACACACATTCACACACTACGGACAATTTAGCCTACCCAGTTCACCTGTACCGCATGTCTTTGGACTGTGGGGGAAACCGGAGCACCCGGAGGAAACCCACGCGAAGGCAGGGAGAACATGCAAACTCCACACAGAAACGCCAACTGAGCCGAGGTTCGAACCAGCGACCCAGCCACCTTCTTGCTGTGAGGCGTCAGCACTACCTGCTGCGCCACTGCCTCGCCTATTGTCAAGTTATAATTATAAATTAAAATTAGAACTAAATATCGTAATTATGATGATTTTCCTTAATTTGAAGCTCATTTAATGGAACTTTTTTTCCACAAAATGAGCCCCAAAATGGAAAAAAGCGTCATAATCAGGACATTTTTAATCTCACATTTCGTATTGGAGTGAAGCTGCATGGGTTTGGCATGACATCGTGGGTTTGGCATGACATGAGTTCATCGTGATACAATCTAATCAAAGTATTTTATATGTTATTATATCAAATAAAACTGAAATAAGCAAACATTTACTTTATTTACCTTTTATTATTTAGTTAGGTTTGTTAGGTGTGGGTTTTGTTGTTCATAGTAGAATTTAAGTCTCCTGCTTGTGTGTGAGACTCTCTGAGTGCATGTAAAGTCATGCACACGGTCACAACCTGGAAATCTTTATCACACAGCATCATAAAGGATACCAGCATATCAGGATAATCAGTGCTTGATCAGTCATGCACATTCGCTAAAAATATGTTTCTGAATTATCTATATCAGACATCTGTGAGTGAAGTCAGAGGGCTGTTCCTTAGAAACAATCCAGAGTACAGAAAGGAGAAGACGCAGATCAGAAAACTGCTGGCAGAGATCTGACACACGCACACTGATCCTGTATGATGGCTCCTGCTGTTATTCTCATCGGCTGTCTGCTGGCCACAATGAGCTGCTCGACCACAGGTAATATTAATATTAATATATATATATATATATATATATATATATATATATATATATATATATATAAAAGCTTTATTATATTAACATTCTGTTAAAGAGATAGTTCTTTCAAAAATGAAAATCCTGTCATCATTTCCTCATCCTGCACTTGTTTCAAACATGTTCAAGTTTCCTTCTTCTGGTGAATAGCAATTTAATTAAATTCATCTCTATTTCTATAGCACTTTCACAATGTAGATTGTGTCAAAGTGGAAGTTCTAGTTAGTAGACTGAAACTGTGTCAGTAGAGTTTTCAGTGTTGAAGTTCTGGGGTGCGTTTCCCAAACAACGATGTAACGCGCTGCTGAACTATAATAGTATGGTGCATCAGTTGGGAAATGGAACGATGTAGTGACGAGTGTTTCTCAAAACCCCGCTCTAAACAGGGTGAAGTAACTACTTCCTTAGAGAAGAACCCCATCATTTCTTTGTGCAAATTATATTGTTTACACACACACATTAAAATAATCCAATATTAGTTTTGGTGAAAACATGCACTCGCTTTCCATATTTATCGAAATATATGTAAATGGCACATATAGGGCCTGTGTTTCCTTTACAAATATTACTGAGAACATTACATATTCTATTCTAAAACATAAAGTCACTTACAGAAGCTAACACCTATTCTAATATTATATATAAATTATAGGAATAAATAAATAATGAGGCGATTTCTTAAGAAATTAAATTTAATATGTATTATTTATTAGGAAATTTAAAAATCATACTTTAATAATAATATTAATAATATTAATGATGATGATGATGATGATTATTACGTAGGCTACTTTTACAATCTGACACATGCAAACAACTGCAGAAATCTTCTAACCAGCAGGCCCATGTCATTTACAATACAGATACTTGGTTCCCGAAACCCTCGAGTACTTTTTTTTGAGATTTTAACAGATGTGTGTGTGTGTGTGTGTGTGTTGAGCAACAGTTAGGACAATGTTCGCACCTGTTAGCTGTAATTGTGGGGAAAACTGGATAATTTTGAGCTTTTGTCAGCTCATTTCATCTTCCGGGTTTAAAATGATTTTTGGGGTGGATCGAAATCAGCGATGTAGAGCAAAACTGCAAGTGCAAAGATGACGCGTCGGTTTCTCATTATTATTCATAGCTGAGTTTTCTTATCCTATGAGAAGAGCCGGCTTCTTAATTATTCATGACTGCACGTGCTTTCCGAAGGCAAGGCAGACCTGCCAGTGCCAAGCTGTGAGACACAGATCCTGGGTGTCATGACCCTTTAACGTATGCTACGTTTTTTTTTTTTTTTTCACAAGCTTTGGAGATGTAAAGTAAATTCCACTTTTAAATAACAGGTCACCTAGAGCTTTTTCATAAGCCACGGCTGTGTTCAAAATGACATCAATGTTTGCAAAGTGCACTGCGAAGGAAGCACATGTGAAACATTAAGATCGCTAAAACTGAACTGTAAATATAATTTAAAAGCAAATTACAGCTAAGAGAGATAAGCTTAATGCTTTTTTTTAATCATTATAAGTTTAAGTGTTAGAATGTTCTAAATGAATAGGGCATAGGGGGGATAAGTGGGAATAGAACACAGCCAGGAACTATGTTTCTAACTACAGCTCTATAGGTGTAGTTGTAAGCATACAAGTTTGCGAATGTTTGTTGGTACAATGGATTTGGGAAACAGCAAATCAACAAACTATGTTTGCAATGACGGAACTTGCGACCTTAGATAGCTAACGATAGTTTTTGGAAACGCACCCCTGATTAGTTCATTTCAGTCATGAAAATATGCTGGAAATGCTGTAATAAACAACTATTGGTTTCCATTTTCAGTGTAGTCTGTTTTTTACAATATTGTTCAAAATAATATTCTGTGTTCAACAGAAAAAGATATTCATAAACATGTTGAACCACTTGCGTGTTAGTAAATGGTAAGAAAATGAACTTTTTGGGAGTGAACTGTCCCCTTAAGTATTTTTTGAAGATTTTGAAGAGATCCGTCAAACTGTAAATGCTTCAGATTCTCTGATTACTGATGGCTTTTGTATTTCACAGCTCAAATGACAAGTATTCCTACTACATCACCTTCTGCACCTAACATGTCAGGAAATGTGACTAATGGGATGTCGAACGCAACTTCTACTACAGCAAGTTCAATCACCAATTTGGGCAATGCAATGACAAGTGCAACCACCACAGCACCAACTGCACAACCTTTATTCAATCCTACAGCCCCACCTTCGTCCAATCCTACAGCACCACCTTCGTCCAATCCTACAGCACCACCTTCATTCAATCCTACAGCCCCACCTTCGTCCAATCCTACAGCACCACCTTCATTCAATTCTACAGCACCACCTCCATTCGTTTCTACAGCACCACCTCAAAATAACTCTGCTGCACCACCTTCATTCAATTCTACAGCACCACCTCCATTCGTTTCTACAGCACCACCTCAAAATAACTCTGCTGCACCACCTTCATTCAATTCTACAGCACCACCTCCATTCGTTTCTACAGCACCACCTCAAAATAACTCTGCTGCACCACCTTCATTCAATTCTACAGCACCACCTCCATTCAATTCTACAGCACCACCTCAAAATAACTCTGCTGCACCACCTTCATTCGTTTCTACAGCACCACCTCAAAATAACTCTGCTGCACCACCTTCATTCGTTTCTACAGCACCACCTCAAAATAACTCTGCTGCACCACCTTCATTCAATTCTACAGCACCACCTCCATTCAATTCTATAGCACCACCTTCATTTAACTTTACAGCACCAGCTAGATTCAACTCCACAGCGCTACCTCCATTCAACTCCACAGCACCACCTCCATTCAATTCTACAGCACCACCTTCATTTAACTCTACAGCACCAGCTGGATTCAACTCCACAGCGCCACCTCCATTCAATTCCACAGCACCACCTCCATTTGACTCTACCACAGGCTCTCCCAAAGGTAATTCACTGTTAATTGTGTGTGTTAATATGTAGGGTCAGGTTTTAGCTTGAGTGTTAACAATCACTGTGCATTTTACAGATGTTCTTACAATTCTGACTAATCTGGAGGTGGAGGTTTTGGCCGAAGAGTCGTCCTCTGAAGAAGAACGTCAGGCTGCACTACGTCAGGTGAGATGATTGTCTCTTTCACGGTTTACAGTTTGTATATTTGCACTACATAATAGGGGTTCTATCATACACCCGGCGTAATAAGGCGCAAGACATGTTTGGTGCAATTTGTTGCTATTTTCAGACCAGCGCAACCCTAATTTTCATGTTTTGCACCACATTGTTTCTAGTAGCAATTTGCACCACCTTGTGGAATCGTGTGTTTGCTGGTCTATAAAGGAGGAGTGTTAAAGCGCATTTTTGGAGCACTGCCTTTTTGAGGAACTGAAATACAAAATGAAAACAAACAGAACGGTTTTATTAGCGTGTGATTTTTTAAAATCAGTGTAATTTAAGTTATTGAGTTCATTTAAAAAGGCTTACAAAAATTATTTTATTTTATGTGACAAAATAATAAATTATTATCAAAAAGCATTTTTGGTTTCAGATTTCAGCCAAGTGCATCCAGTATTTTTGGTTTCACTTTGGCGAGTCCCTATTTTAAAGGCCTACTCACACAATGCCATACCGTGCCCAGGCCCATTTCCTGTATCGTTTGAGAAGTATGAGTGCGCTGAATCTGGCTCAGGCACGGTTCACTTGGCTGGCCCTGGCCTGGTTGGAAGAGGTGGGCCTGAGCGCGGTTCACCAAAGCCCGAAACTAAGAGTGAGACATGACTTTTAAGGGACTGCTTCATATGGATTAATTAATCATTCTTACTGTTCAGTGAACGCAAACTGCCGTAGATTATTAAAGACTCAAACTCCTCACTGCACGACAGCTGCACCTTTAGCAAACCACCTCATTCCTGCAGCACGAGAGCTTTATGATTATGAGCGCCAAAAGTGGCGGATCTGTTTGGCGAAATATCTGACTGCAAGTCACCGCATCCCTAAGGACTGTTTGGCAAAATATTTGACTGCATCTCACTGCATATCAAACGACTGAAACGATATAACTAGAGAAATCTCCTCTGTGCTGAGCGACAGCGCTCACTGAACAGCGCAGCATCGATGATGTAAGCGTGCCCAGGCCCGATTGTATGTGAGTGCGGGCCGTCAGGAGAGATGGGAGGGGGGACAAGCGTGCTTTGGCCCTGTTTAAGGCAACTGTACATAGTGTGAGTTCGGCCTAAAGGGCCATGAAACCCCCCGTTTTTAGCAGGATGTTTTCACACCTCTACTTTGGGAAAAAGTCAGGAAAGTGGGCGTGTCCAGCCCTGTTTAGGGGGAGTGTCGGAGGAGGGAAAAAGGCATGGTCTGTAAAAATTTGCATAAAAATGGGAGTGTCGGTTTGAGCACACGCTGATTTTCACACAGGTAAAACAAACAGACGAACAGAGGAGAAAAACAGTGACTGTGTTTGCGTGGGTATCAGTAATCTAATTATTTGCCAAATTATTAAATGGTGGACTTTAATTGCAGTTTTGCTCTTTCATTCAGGAATTTTATTCATGCCCCTCGTGACAAATGAGGTATTTTTCATGCAATGTTTGATACCTCACGGCGAATGAAAAAAAAAACCCTCGGCATTCATCTGTAACTTAGATGCACTCGGTAGGTAGCGTCAGAAAGCCGTGTGTGTTATTCCTGTCACAAAATGCAGCGAAACTCCTCCACGTACGGTAAACTTTATTAACTTAGAAATCATTTGACTAAGATCCGTCTTTAAACACTGAAAGTGTACTGCTGACCATACCAACCAACTTTGCCATCTGAATAAACAAACAAAGACCACTGATCGCTCACTTACCAAATCTGTAGAGACAGGACAATCACCACCAAATGGATCCGCGTCTTTATTAAAAGGAGACGAGCAGCAAATCCAGATTTCGCCATTTCCAGATGAGAAAAGCTCTCGGGTAAACAATATTCCTTAGACACGTATTTCTATGGTGCGTCATGTGCACTAATCCACATGTGAGTCCAGCTGCGCTCTCATAGAGAGAAAATGAAAACAAAACCTTCACTGCAGTAAATTATAAAAGCAACACTGACGACCTGTAACTCCAAACAATTCATGTTCTCCCACTTGGCAACACAACATGTCGTCTCTCTGCTGTCTGAACACTGTAACTGGTAAAAACAGTCTTGGAAGCTATCATGCATATTAATGAAGTTGCACGCATACACAATAGAGCGCGCGGAGTGGTTTGAACAAAGTCTTACTCATGAATGAATGCAGCACACTCAGAGACGTAATAAGTACTCCCAGGTACAGACGTCCAGTCTACATGCTGGAATACACACTAAGAACTCATGACCGTCACGCAGCTTCAAAAATTAGTTTCAAACCGGAAGAACCAATTTGCTCGAAATACTGCAAAAACTACAAATTCTCACTTATTAGAGAGATTTTTGTGTCCAAATAGTGTTTTTAGCAGCATGGGACACATATATGACTGTCAACGGCTCAAAATTTGTGTTTTAGTGTATCGTGACCCTTTAAACATAACCATGTTGTTAAGGGTAGACAGTTCTAATTTGTTTAATTATGTACTGTTCTGTGAGGTGTACTTATGTTATCTAGATTAAAAAATAACAACAACAAATATTTAGAATGGTTTTCTGTGCTGATTTCGACTTCCATCAGAACGCTCAGTTTTAATGGGTGTGGCCAATCGTAGACTCAGAAGTAAATGCTCACTGCTCTGATTGGCTGACAGTTTTGCATTTTAACAGAGCTAAACCGGCAGTGAAGCAGAAGCTCATATGAAGGCGGAGCTTATCCACTCTATTACATCACAGAGCAGAACGCTCCAGAACCTGTCAATTTGGCAGGCGGTCTTCAATAAAAGCTGATTTTAGAAAAACTAAATGTTTTTGAGTTCTGACACTTAAAGGATGTTTAAATTATACTAAAAGCTCTTATATTTCAAAAAGTTTAAGAGAATTTTAATTTCTCATTTCATGTCCACTTTAAACCTGCCGATTTGGTCTTGTTCTTATTCTGAGCCATAAAAACATGTCTAATAATATAATATGAACAAATCATACAGCTAGTCATATGGGCATATGCACAGGCCAGAATAAAAGCTCTGTGGCACTTACATGTTTTACACTGTACAGTCATTATGCATATTTGCATACAAAATATATGCAAATAAACACAGTGTGCATGGAACAAATACACACTATAATCAGCAGTATTGAGAGGTTGGCTAAGAGTTGAATTCATAAATGAAGACGAGCATCCCAAATGTTTCATAGCTTGGTTGCCATAACAGAAAAGACAATTGACAAAAAATAGGAACAAGAAGGTTGCAGTGATCCAACGGGAATTTAAGCAGTTGATTTAATGTGGCCTCCTGAAAGATGAGAGATTATTAGCATTGCAGGGCTCGAAATTAACTTTTTTACTTGGTAGCACCGGTGCTCCCAACTTCAAATATTTAAGAGCACCAAAAAAATTTTAGGAGCACCAGAAAAAATTTAGGAGCACACACCAAAAATGAATGAGCACAGCTGCAAATTGTTTTTTAAGGGATTTATTGTATTTTAAAACAACATTAATAGGACTGACAAAAACTAGAAACAACTATCTAACTAATGCTGCGAAGACATTGATATTTGTGTGCAATAATTCCAAAATGAATGTCTAATAATTAGGCCATAGAATATTAATGATGATAAAAATGGCAATAATAGTAACAATGAATTACATTTCTCTTTATGATACTGCCTTGAACGTGCATGAATGTAGGTTATCTGCTATAAAAAGTCTGTTACTTTATGAAAAATAATTGTATAGTTTGCATCAAACAAAAATGAAGCATTGCAGTAAGAAATATTTATTTTGTATTATTGTTTTTAAATGCATGTCAGTTTAATAAATAATATTTCTGCTACAAAACAAACAAAAGATTATAATAAATCATTCAATTCAATGATGAAAGCTGCAAAGCAGTCATCAGTAAATAAATAAAAAAATAATATACACCTCAAAAAAGAATAGAGAAAAGAAAGTAAGTAAAGTCTCATCTCTATCACTCTTTAAAAGATTTGGTTTCAGTTTGTGTCAATTTAAAGGTTCAGTCTGAGATGATCTTCATTTTTCTGTGTTAGTGGAAAAGCAGGCGAGTCAGCCGACCCAATTTATGAGCAGGCAGCGCAAGATTCTTGCGCTAACCATCGGCGCAATACCGGTCTTTGTTATGAGCCGCAGTTTCAGTGTAAACTTAGGAAAGGCGAGCTTCTTTGGCGATGATATGTACAGTATTAGATTTGACTTTTAGCGGACATTTGCGCTGAACACGCAGTGAATGCAACGCATGAGATTCGGGCACCTTCTCCAAGAAGCGCGTACTCGATTGATCACAGCTGGCGGATCCTTATTCACCACGTGACGTGTCATGATCGCTTTCATCTGCACCTCAACTTTAGGTGGGGTTTGCAAACCTGTATGCTTTAAGTTTTTACTCTTCAGCCGTTTGCATTTCCCGTGTTCATAAAAGCTCCTTCCCTGTCATCTGACAGCGGAATACCTCGAGTGATTGACAGCTAATATGAACCAATATAACGGCAGAGAAGAGCGATTCAGCACGTTTTTACAAAAAATCAAAACAGGTCGCACTACAACCATTATCTGCAGTCGCACTAATGCTCCCAAATATATTATGAGGTCGCATAGATTAATTTTCGGGCGCATATGCGACCAAAATAGTCGCAATTTCGACCCCTGCATTGGGATAAAAGTAATAAAAATAAAATTCTGTCATCATTTATTCGTTTCAATCTTTTATTCATTCATTCATTTTCTTGTCGGCTTAGTCCCTTTATTAATCCGGGGTCGCCACAGCGGAATGAACCACCAACTTATCCAGCAAGTTTTTACGCAGCGGATGCCCTTCCAGCCGCAACCCATCTCTGAGAAACATTCACACACACACTCATACACTACGGACAATTTAGCCTACCCAATTCACCTGTAGCGCATGTCTTTGGACTGTGGGGGAAACCAGAGCACCTGGAGGAAACCCACACGAACGCAGCGAGAACATGCAAACTCCACACAGAAACGCCAACTGAGCCGAGGTTCAAACCAGCGACCTTCTTGCTGTGAGGCGACAGCACTACCTACTGCGCCACTGCCTCGCCCGCTCAATCTTTTATGAGTTTCATAATTCTGCTAAACACAACAAAAGATATTGTGTTGGAAACCTGTAACCCTTGACTTGCATGTTTTTCCTAATACGGAAGTCAATCAAATTTCCAGCTTTCTTCTCTAAAAATATCTACTTTAGTGTTTAACATAAGAAAGAAACTCATAAAGGTTTGAAACCACTTGACGGAGAGTTAATAGTGTGTAAATAATTCTTTTTGGGTGCACTGTAATGTAATGTAATGCTTATTTATATAGCACATTTATTGTGTATTTCCATAATCCCCAAAGTGCTTCACAATCATGAGGGGGGGGTCTCTTTACACCACCACTAGTGTGCAGCATCCACTTGGATGATGCGACGGCAGCCACAGGACAATGGCACCAGTGTGCTTACCACACACCAGCTATAAGTTTAGATTGGGAGGCCATGATGGGTAAGAGCCGAGTGAGGGAATTTGGCCAGGACACTGGGGTTACACCCCTACTCTTTCCCAGAAGTTCCATGGGAGTTTTAATGACCACCCCGGTTTAATGTCTCATCCAAAAGAAGACATTTATTGACAGTAGAGCTGCACGATTCTGGCTAAAATGAGAATCGTGATTTTTTTGCTTAAAATAAAGATCACGATTTTCTCACGATTCTGTAGATGTAAAATAAAGGTGTGGTAAAAACAAACATATGGCACAACATCGATAATAATATTATGTGTAGGTCTACTGGTTTTTATAAATAATTTTATTCTACTTATAATAATTCTGATGTTGAATTATCATGTTTGAGATATATGCTTGCAATCTGTCATATTAGACAATTTTATTCAGTGGTAAAATCAGACATTTGCCATTATCAGATTATATTCAACAATATATAGGCTAGAGTAGTTATACTGACATTGTAAACATTTTCACGCACAAATGTGTGTTCGCTATGAAAGAAAAAACAAATCAAATGCTTGTCGTAATCAAAACTTTAAATCGTGATATGATCATTTAAATGAAGTGCACACTTTCGGTTTCATTTTGACTGCTGAGTGCTTGTTCATACTTCGCGCGCGGCTCCCAAACAATCACTCTGTGCCACAAACTGAATATTATTTACAACTGTATTTCCTGTTACTCGCAACATATGCAGGTTCTGTTCACTAAAGGAGACGCGCGCGCTCACGGTCACATTATGTGACTCATTCAACATCATTTAGAGGTGTCCATGTCACTGAGCAACGTGTGTGTGAAACAATGAAGAGACTCGTGCAGCCGCCTTTTCTTCGCTCCTGAACTTGAAAATATAATTGGCAGAATCGTAGAAATGCTGGATTAAGATCGTCTAGGGGGTCAAATCGAGATCGCCATCTTTTAATGATTAATTGTGCAGCTCTAATTGACAGTATAGTGTCCCCTTCACTATACTGGGGCATTGGGACTCATACAGACCACAGGTTGAGCGCCTCCTGCTGGCCTCACTAACAGCACTCCCAACAGCAAACTAGTTTTCCCGTGTGGTCTCCCATCCAGGTACTGACCAGGCTCAGCCCTGCTTAGCTTCAGTCAGTAACTGGTTCAGGCTGCAGGGTGTTATGGCTGGGGCACTTTAAGTGCATCTGTCCCTTTAAGAATGATACAAAAATTTTGGGGTGTATTAGAGGGAAAAATTAAAGCTAAAGATTAATTTGTCGAATATACATACATGCAGCTTTACTCTTCTGGACCTGCTGTTATCTAACTTCCTGTTGTTGTTTTATTTTTCAGGTTGCCACTTTGGTGGAGAACTACTTAAGAGGGAATCTTAGTGACATCTCCTCTTTTGAGGTCACAAGAATTAAGCCGTTATCACCTTGTGATTGAGTCAGAAATCAGCCAAGAGGAACAGAGATGAATACATCTGCACATATGCTGGACTTTAATTATTTTTCTACACTGTAAAACCCAATAAGTTAAGGCAACTCAAACCCTTTGAGGAAACCGATTGCTACAAACTATTTAAGTTCAAAAACTAATCCAAATGAGCACTGTGAACTTAATCCATTTAAGTAAATGAAGCAATTTGAGCAGAGTAAAACCCCAATAAATGAAGAGAACTCAAACCAATTGAGTTCTGTAAAACCCAATAAGTTAAGGCAGGGGTGTCAAACTCAATTCCTGGAGGGCCGAAGCCCTGCACAGTTTAGTTCCAACCCTGCTCCAACACACTTACCTGTAGGTTTCAAACAAGCCTGAAGGACTCAATTAGTTTGATCAGGTGTGTTTAATTAGGGTTGGAACTAAACTGTGCAGAGCTGCGGCCCTTTTGGAACTGAGTTTGACACCTGTGAGTTAAGGGAACTCAAATCATTTGAGGAAACCGATTGTAACAAACCATTTAAGTATAAAAACGAATCCTAATGAATATTGTGAACTAACTCCATTTGAGTAAACGAAGCAATTTAAGCACAGTAAACTCCAATAAATGTAGAAAACTCAAACCAACTGAGTACTGTAAAACCCAATAAGTTAAGGCAACTCAAACCGTTTAAGGGAACCGATTGCTACAACACATTTGAGTTAAAAATGAATCTATACAAGTGTGAACATTGAGTTGAAGTAATGAGGTGTTTAATTAACTCATTACCGTCAACACTGAGTTCAAAACTCTCTAGAACTAACTCTCAGTACATTTTGAGTTGGCGACGCTCATTTCATTTGATTGGGTTGACTGTTGGGTTTTACAGTGTGAGATTTCTGATTATTTAGGGTGACTGTTTAACAAAAGCATTGCACTTAAGCACTACATATGTATCATGAAAACTATGAAACAATTTTTCCTGTCCTGTCTATACTGTAAAAACACTGTCTGTACAGTCAATACACTGTAAAAAACGATTAGCTACTACACTTTAAAAAGTGAGTAAATCCTTTGTAACTCAGAACTGTTAAGCTGACTTAATTGAATTTTTAAAGTAAATAATTATACTCAAAATTCATTTAGTTAATCATTTTAAGGCAATGGGTTTACTCCAGCCTGATCTAACGAGAAAACCTAAATATTTTACGTTTTGCCAGTACAAGTGGCTAATTCGTACGAATTCGTACGAGCTCAGTCGTACAAAATTGTACGATTTTAAAAAGGAGGTGTGGCACCTAACCCCACCCCTAAACCCAACCATCATTGGGGGATGAGCAAATCGTACTAAATTGTACGAATTAGATCGTATGAATTCATACGAATTAGCCACAAAATCAAAAAGTTACGAATTGCCGTGAGATTGTGTTGGTTTACTCAGTTGCCTTAAATTAGTAAAGTCAACTAATTTATCACTTTAAAAAATATATTTTACAAATTTTTTTAAGCAAATTACTGTGAAATTGCACTGGCTTTAAATGAGATTAAATTAAAATTACACTCACTTGCTCGGGACTTGTGGAGCTACGCTTCGGTGGATTTGCTCTTCAGTGTTTGGACTTTAAGCAATAAAAATTAAACCACACTGAACTGAACTTCAACTCTGAAAACTCGACTGACACAGCATCAGTTCACTAGAACTTCCATGTTGAGCTGCTTTGACACAATCTACATTGTAAAAGTGCTACAGAAATAAAGATGAGGTAAATTCAACCAATGCATTTTATATGCTTATTTTTGTGCATTAACTCATAAAATAAACCAAAATATTTGTACTGCACTGTGCTGTATGAGGTGTTCAGTTCTTCATAAAGCTCTTTGCTGCAAAGTTTGGATGCAAATCTTTGTATACAATGCCAGTAAGTAGCATGTTACATGTGTGTGTGTGTGTGTGTGTGTGTGTATTTGCATAGCAGGGGATGATTTAGCAGGTACAGCCGCTCACTAAAGCACTTTGTTCTCGCGTCTCATGTTTAGAGTCCTCTGACCAGACAGTCAGAGAGCGGATGGAAGTGTTATCGTGCATTTCAGAGGAATTGAGTCTGATGACGTGAGACTGGCTGTCTATGTTTGTTTTGTACACCATTAGCAGTGTTTTTCCCACCATACCTACCTTCAATCCCTCTTAAAAGTACAGTTATTTCATTTGATTTTCCATAGGCCTACAGCAACAGATCACCATTTAAGGTTGCTTTCCAACAAAACAGGCTTATACTTATTTTAGATTGCAAATATATTGTACCCCAATATTTTCAATGGAGCTTCTGAGCTAGCATGCTGCTACTGACGCCGCTTGCATTTAAACGCCTTTTATCTCGTTTTATATACCAATCACCGAATTGACTGTATCACTGACTCTCCACTCCACCAATAGCTGGTGTGTGGTTATGCTAGGGCTGGGCTTTTTTCCTTTCGATTTTTACGATTAATTTGAATTTATGTTTTAAGATGATTTAATTTAATAATAAATAGGGATGTAACAATATTGTAAATACCGTCATACCGCAATAGAAATTTTTTTCAATATTACCGTAGGCGCATGACTCAATAAAACTATATTTCTGAGAAAAGTTTGCTCAGGCGAATGAAGCAAACTGGAGGTAGCGGGAACTACAATTCCCATCAGCCTAGGCGTGGTGATCATCATTTGCGGTCTGTTGTCACTACAGATCCAGTAATGCGGAAATGGAGTGTGCTGCTAGTAGCGGGGAAGAAAAAGAGCTGGAAATGATCAAATCTAAAGCGGGTTTTAAATCGGATGTGTGGAAGCATTTCGGTTTCTTTCTAAAAAGATACGAGAAAGGAGAAAAGGTGACAAAGAAAAAAACGGTATGCAGGCACTGCCAGACTGTGGTGAAATATAAGTCGGGGAATACGACTAAAGACAGTCATGGGGACTGCAGAACACAGCACACTGTTCAGATTGATGCAGACAGTAACTTGTACCGCAAAGAGACCTCTATCTCACTCATGGCTTGTCCTCTCAAGTGGTGGAAAGACAATGCACAACGTTACCCACTGCTGTCAACCTTGGCTAAATCATATCTCTCTGTCCCAGAAACCTCAGTCCCAAATGAGAGGGGTTTTTTTTCTGTTGCAGGGGACATGCCCAGAGACCCCAGCTTTTACCACATTATAGTTATATGATAATTTTCCTTAAAAAACCCATCTCTATCTAAGTGAGTGAGTGACTAAATGTTGAATGTGATGAGTTTTCAACAATACTAAATTGAAACTTAATTTTTTTTATATGGTTTAATAATTTTTTGTTATTCAAATTGAAAAATTGAAGTTCCTGTTTCGAAGCTTACAGATAGATGGCTAATTTGTATGTCATTGATATGTTCAGTGCTAAGGTAAATAAACACTTTTGGCACTTTTTTCATTAGTTTTATTTTTCCTGTAAATTATTCAATAAATACCGTACCGTGCCATTCATACCGAGGTATTATCGTACTGTGAAATTCTGATACTGTTACATCCCTAATATTAAATCAAGGTATCGCAGTTTTTTTTTTTTTTACAAAAACATTAGATACATTATAATTGCACCAAAGCGCTTTGGTTCACTCTCTGTATTACTCTGCTTGACTGCCTGTCTGGGTTTCAATCATGGTAGTGACGGACTGAACAGAGACTGGACAGCCTAATTTAACCCAATGCATGAAGTTGTGGGCAAGCACAGCAGAGCTGGTACAAATACAACAAACACAAGCATTTAAGTGTCTTCAGTTGTGTATTTTTCTTTTGTTAATACCTTTGCATCAAACGCGCTTTGGTTCACTCTCTCACGCTACTCCAGCACTGCCTGACGAGGGGATTTACGTTCAGACTAATGCAACAAGTGAAGTCCTACAGGACTTCACGCTTTACTAAGTCACATCTGTCTGTGTGGATTGTCAAGACACATTCCCTTATCAAGAAGATAAACCCAATCTTTTAACATGTATTAAGGACATAAAAACCTGCCATGTGAATAAACGCACAGATCTTAGTTCGAACCGCGCTGATCTTAGTTTGGTTTGAACACATGAAAACGTGAAAAGTTAAAGTACCCGCCCCCATGACATCATTTAGCGGACCTAGTTAAAACCCAGACAGGCAGTCAGGCAGCAGAGTGTGGTGCAAAGCGCATCAAATGACCGCTATTTAAAAAAAAAAGGGGGGGGGGGGGGTAGAATAAATATATAATATATTATATTGCTCCTGCTATACGTCCACAACTTCACACATTGGGTTAAATTAATCTTTACAGTTTCCATGTTCAGTCCTTTACCTCCACTGTATCTTTTCAAGAAAAAGGCCGCAGCATTACAACCTGACATTCAATCAGAAGAAGACGAGCTGACAGCCAATCTTTCCTAGGCTCAGCAAAACTTGCAAAAAATACCTCTGTTTTACTGCAACTGCAATATTTAGACATGTATTTTTTTTTTTAAATCTTCTGCAACGATATTTAACTTGTGAATTTGTTTTACATTTATTTACACCTTGTTGACCAATTTATGCATGGCCATTAAAAATACAATGTTCCTTAACCAGTTGGTTTTTCAAGTTACTTATAAAAAGAATGTTACTTCAGTCATATTGTTGTAATGTTTTAAGTTGACTAGTTACACAATAAAAAAAATAAAATCGAAATTGAGAATCGCTTAAACTTTATGACAAACCTAGATTTTTTTTGTTTTTTTTGTTGCCATATCGCCCAGCACTATGTGAAGCACTGGTGCCGTTGTCCTGTGGCTGCCGGAACATCATCTAAATGGAGCTGCACACTGGTGGTGGTGTGGAGAGAGCTCCCCCCCAAAGATTGTAAAGCGCTTTAGGTGTATGGCCATACAAGATAAATGCGCTATATAAATACACATTACATTACATTGCATTTACGCTTAGAACAACGTAATGTATGCTTAAATGTATTTAACTGATCATATATTACAACATCGATGCTGTAAAAGGAACCTAATGAAATTAAAAATAGCCACTTAAAACTTTCACCGGAAGTTTATCGGTGACTGAAAAACACGTGCTGTGCATATAGTCCAATTTAGTGAACAAAGGCAAAGGAATTATTCATTCAA